TGATTCCCGACATCTCAAACCTCCTGGAAAGTACCTAAACTCTCAAACTCTTCCAAATTTAACTCTCTAGGCCAACCGCCACAAACCACTACTTTTCGTGGTCCGTACCCCTACTTTTTTTCTTTCTTCGTTCGCTCTCAGCCCCGAAACCACCAAAACCCCCACCCCAAACCCACCAAGGCTCTTGCAGGCTACCATCAAAGACAAAAAGCCTTAAATGGCTATGTCTGCGGTAAACATCATGTCACATCTGTGTGTTTATTCTTGACATTGAGAGAAGGAAGTAACCCCGGGAGTGTCCCAGGGAGTCCCTCCCCGCTCACCATCCCCAGCAAAAAAAATGGTATTCTTGAATGATATATATTTTAATTAATAATTATGCTGTTTGCTTTATTATTGATGAACCCTGAACTATTATATCATATGGTGTTAAATCAATTACATCCTTTGTTAACATGCTATTTTTCAGGTCCACCAAGTCACTTTTTTAAATGTCTCTTTTTACTAATTAGATTTTTTCTCAGAGTTTTCCAACAGGCGGCGTGTTCTTTGCGTCAGGTGAGTGGCGTTTTTAGATAAAAAACAAGTATAGTCTAAACAGTATAAATACGAGCGCGGTAGTATGTTCTGACTGCATACTGCAGGATTAAAGTGTTCAAATAAGAGTGTGTAACAAACTTTCATTGTGTGTTTAAGTACCGTGTGGACTTTTTGTCGATGGATGCGTAGAAAATGGAGGATGGGGCGCCAGCTTTACAGAAAACTGGTAAGTATTTTTTTATGATTTATAAATTCTTTAGTTTCAACTGAGTTTAATTCTTCGAAAAGCAGCTGAAGCTTTATGTATTCTTTTATTTTTTGCTCTTAATGGTTTGGAACAATTTCCTGCAGTACTAAACACATTTTTTTTGTTTTTTGTAGGTGGCACGATGCAGCTTTCGGTAAGTTTCGCATTTTTTGCCCCTGCTTGCCATGTAGATATAGGACTTTTAGTCCCATATTGCTGACTGCATTTCATGATTTTGGTGCATATTTTTATCCGACCAAGAACGACGAAGGAGTTTCTGGATTCTGGCTAGGGTTTTTTCATTTTCAAATTTTAAGTCAGATTTGATACGTTAACAAATGAGGTTCTCTGGAGGAGACTTTTCTGTTCTTAATTGAACAAACATTTAAATGGTTTTCCATACTTGACGTTAGTTGATGTCTAATATTTGATTTGGAATATGCTCAAGAAAGGTGAACCTTATGCATGTTCGATATTGTTATACATGTTAAGTTTCGAAGAGCACAATTGAAAAACTAAGCACAAATATGTGTAACCCTGACAGGTTTACCAACAAATAAATCCCTGCATGCATATTTACCGCATTTTTATAAAACACTACAGAAGCGTAATTATTTAAAATTCGAATAGAAAACTTGTGTACTTTTAAGCAAAGTAACGGTTTCATTTTATTTTTATTATATTCAGCTTACCTTTTGAATTAAACGTTGAAAAAGTTTATGAAATTTTGATCTTGAATGCATACATCCTGCTTTTAACTTTATTAATTTCAACAACAGATATCAGCTGCAATATGACCGTTGGCGCATAAATAAATTTGTATTGATAATACAAACACCACAATTTAGTAAAATATATTTATAAGTACATATTTTTTTTACTATTTACTGTAATAAGAAAATTTTAGCTACGTAAATTTCGTAGTTCATAATTGGTCACTGAAATATTTACTTTTTGTTTCATTCTCAAATTTAAGTATTCGGGGAAATTGGCAACAGGAGTGGCAACATAAGCTGGACCTTTGTCAATTAAGATATTTTTTTTCGTTTTGGTTAAATTTTCTTATTGCCTAAGCGTTTTGGCGCTGTGGGGAATAAAGGAAGAATCCACCAGTACGTGTACCACGGACAAAGAAGATCCTTCGACAAGGATATTCTTCAGGAGTTCTTCAGAAGAATTCAGCTTGGATGGATAGCTTATGGAAAACTTAGTAAGTTCTTTAATTCCAAATTTCCACAATACCTTAAAACACAGGTTTTTGGCCAATGTGTCCTGCCGACCTTAACGAACGTCGCAGAAACATAAAGCCTTAATGAGGGGACGATGCAGGGTTTGAGGATTGCTCAAAAAAAAATGGAGAGGAAAATAGTAGGAATACGACTACAAGACCGAAAGACAAACGAATGGATCATACAACATATAAAAGCGATAGACATCGCAGACCGGGTGGCGACGCTAAAAGGGAAATGAGCTGGTCATTTGATTAGGTTAGATGATAATAGATGGACCAGGAAGAGAACTGAGTGGAGGCCCAGAACAACTAAAAGGAGCCCAGGACTACCAAGAACAAGGTGGAAAAATGACATCCTGAGACTGGCAGGTACCCAATGGATGAGAGGTCTATGTCCAGAGATGGACGGAGAGAGGCTGACAGATTCCTCAAGGTTTGCTGGAGCTGTTGGCTGTTTTAGGTCAGAAACAATCAATTGATTACACCTTGTAAAGGTGGTCAATGTCAATTTCCCACAAACACCTAACTAATGGTCATATTGAGAGCACATTGGCAACAGCGTTACTAGTTTTTACTTATAATTGGCAGACATGGATGAATCATTCGTTTGGCCAAGCGATAACATTTAAACGAGTACTTGAAGCGGCATTGACCACATTGCGTCCATATACGAAACGAAAACTAAAACAAGTTGCCTTATATGAATTTGGTAATTAACCAAATAAACTGCCGTGCACAGATTCGTTTCGAGCAAACGTTCCTTTGTAAAGTATTAAGACCTCAAAATACAAGATAATAAGTATTAATAGATAGTCCTTAATCTAACAAAAACCCATGGACAAAAGTATAGCATTTTCTTCGTTATATTTGTTAGTTGACCATCTGTTATCATTCGATATTGAACAAGTGAAAGGTGTGAAGGTATTAATATTGAGTAAAATGTGGTTAATTTTGAGTATTCATTTTTAATTGTTACTCCACTAAATTCAATATATTCAAAATAATCAATACTTTCATGACTTATATTACCATACTCTTGTAAAATACAGTTTTGTTTTCTATTATGTTCATTAGTTTTATACACAACGTTTGTACATGCATTTTAAGAAAAACTTCAAGTTTTATTTTTTTATCTTATCTATTTCTACCCACGATAAAAAAGTACCTACTGTGAAAAGTAACACAATCTTAGTTGCACCAGAAAGATAGACTCAAACACAGCTATTCTAAAATGTTTTTAAAATTAAAAAAATCTTTAAACTAGAATATCTCCAACCGACAGGTGTATTCCCAAATATTACTAATTATTGTAATAATAACAGGAAAGGTCCTCACTATCTATTCACGTTATATGGATTAATAACTGATAATTATCTAGATGATCAAGAAATAGGGTTTGCAGTTAATAATATAACCTCATAGAAAAGCCCTTTACCAACAACTTATCTCAGCCTTAGGATTTTTTATGCGGAAATGCGGTTTTTGCACACTTTTCACTCCTTCAACTTCACTACTATTCCATAATAAATTTATAACAAAAGAAGGTTTTTGTTAATTTGATTAGTTTGTGTTTGTTGATTAAATTGGTCAACTGCTCCTTTTTTCTTTTAATTAATGTTAAATAGCTACCTCCATTAAGACGGGAATTTACCGATTATTTGCTATTTTCTGAGACCGAGATATTTGCTACTTTCTGCCCATGCAGAGTTGCCATGGGCCGAGGTGATAAAAGTGCAACCTATAGTGGTGTCCTTTGCTATCTTATGGAAAAGTTCTGAATTTCAATGAGAGAATAGTGGGTAAAACCCACATTTCCGCCAAAACAATACTACTATGAAAAGTGGCTATTATTTTTTAGTGTCCTTAAAATAATTTCTACTTTAAGTATAAAATATTATTTGTTGTATACCTACGTAAATAAGGTTTTTTATTTAAAAAATATGCATTACAAATGTTTTAAAATTGTTTCTGCAGGTGACGCACAATTGCCCGTCACTTTATGACGACTATATCTATATGCTATATCACGACAACGGCAACCACAAGTGAAATCACATTCACAGGTTAAATTTACAGTTAAAAAAATGACATTCACAGTTATCACAGTGATTTTTAAAATCACGCTTTAGCTCATCTCTTCTCCACACTATCTAGATAATTAATCCTTTGACTTGCGTCCGAAATATCAGTATTTCTCAAATTAATCTCAATTTTTCTTTCAAGACAAATATTGTACTTAATAACATGGCTCAACGCCATTTCCAAAAACAAAGATAACCCTTTGGACCCACGCTGCAAAAAGGATAATTCTCGAAAGCAAGCGTATCAAAATTTGATATTTAGACCGTCTGTTTCGTCCCCGATACAACGATACAAACTCTCTCAGTTTGCATCGCAATCGTGTTCTTAGCCAAAAATTTTTAAGTAATAGTTAATTACTTAACAAATGCGGAAAACGATGGGGATTGGAACCAATAATTAAGAGTTGAAATAAATAAATTTAGCAACACCCTGCATGGGTACATTTTATAAACATTTGATGAGAGAGAGATGAGATGAGATGCTCTTATAGGAACAGAATTATGCAGATTTTGAAAGTACCTACATGCAAAGGCGAAGTCAATTTTGAGTGTGAGTAAAATTTAAGCGCTTCTTATTAACATGCTTCAAATGTGAATTATTTCTTCTACTGAGATATCAATGTTACGTTTACTATTGACAATTTTATCTACATGCTGAACAAGTTTTGTCACTTATAGTAAGACCTGTATAATAAATATTATAATATTTCTTAAATGCGATAAAACGGCAACGTTATAAAACAAATATGGTGATAAATAAATAAATAAATAAATCGCTGTGTAACGGTGAAAAGCAATTTAGCTGATAGGAAAACATATTCAGCTCCAAACTGATGAATACGTTCGGAAACATAGACTCGTAGGCGACATGTTTGTCTGCAAATTAACATATTCAGAAATTGTTCAAAAATACGCCGATATTTGCCATATATTTATCTATATCCATTTTATGAACAATCAAGATCATATCTAATATATGAAAGCTGTCCTTCAAATCGATCTCCAATTCAAAGAACTGATATAAAAAGTAACTAGTATAATAGAACAATACTATTTAGGTAAAGTGTGTCATCAAACACGGTCTCACCGGTTGTGAAATGTGAATAAACGAGTCGGAAATCAGATGCAGTCTAGTTTCAGATGCTTTTTGATTTAAACAACTGAGAAAGCCGTGACCAATTAAACACTCTAAACTGTTTGCAGGCATCAGCATAAAACAAAACAAAATTATATATGTTCATACCGAACACTTCCGACACTAAATGAACTATTTTCTCAAAACATGTAAGGTCAGACAATCAATTTATCAGCAATATATCAATATTCATGGATCAACTCACTTTGGTTCAGTTTGACTTGATCATTACCACTTTTGAGGTCGTTAAATTCAAACTACACTGACCATCCCTCTAGCAACTACAAACTTTGTATAGATCCGTTGGGTGTGTCTACCAGCCAATATTTGTTATGGGAGTTTTGTAACCGCAACGTATATGTGTGTAAGAGTTAAAATTAGAACACAATCTATAACATATTTTCATAAACTTTCTTTCATAAAATTCTTTAAATTTCAAATTTTTGCTTACGTTTCTTGTATATTAAAATCTTCTTCGAAAAATCTATAAGTTATAATGTAAGACAAGCGTACTTTTAATGCGCTAATTTTTTTCTATGAAAAACACGAGTGGACTTGCCAGCCGCATGATAACTCATGATAACCAAGAAATAAAACCCGCGCTGAATATAAATTTTCATTTAATTAGATACCAGACCGGCTCGCGCGTCTATCGTGTAAGAGGACTTAATTTATCTAAAGTCTTTTCAAAATTCTCATATTATTAAAAGCACAATTCAGTAAAGGTTATTTAATATTATAATATTAGATTGAAAAAAATCCCAAAAACACTTTGCCTAATTGCATGGTTGCCGCTAAAAGAAATGAACCTTTTTGAAACAGTTGGTCCGTACTCTTCAAGCAAATATCATAATCCCTTTAAAAGAATGACTTCAATTTTGAATCAGCCTGTATAACCGCTATCTATTTTTTGTGGTAGTGTACTATTTAGACTTTAAATAAATGAAAAGTTAAGCTTATCTTGATATTGACCACATCACCAGAATATAGAATACTGTTGGTATGCAATAGTTTGAATGTAAATGGATTCGGTTATTGAAGGTAATATTTTAACGCATCTACTACACTACTAAAATAAGACAAAATAATGATGTTTAAAATAATTTCAGGTAACTAACCCTAATATCAAAACTTTTGAAAAAGTATCTTACCATAAGTTATCTCAGTAGGGAATCCAATCGAATGTGAAAATAGTGAAGGATTCCGAAATGCGGCGGCTGTTCTGAAATGCAGAAAACATTTTTAGAATAGTGTTAAGATTTGATGATCAAATAGGTTTGCGTAGTAAGTGATTGAAAAGAAAACTAGTTTGGAAACAAGCGAACATAGTTTGTGATTTGTGAACTACTAACAACAAAACATTTCAATGGGTTCACATAGTTTGGGAAATTATAGAATCTACACGGTTATTCAATAACATTATTAAAAATTTGGATACCTGTTGCTTTATACTAAAATCAGAAAAGCTAACAAATTACTCTTAAAGTTTTTTTTTCAGTACATTTTAGAGCTTTAGCTACCACCGAGCATATGGTAAATACATTTTTAAATATCGTATTGATGAATATAATGTTTCAGTGTGAAACAAAACTATTAATAAAACGTGTTATTTAATTAAAACATTGATGCCCAAAAACAATAAATACTTTTTAAGGGAAATTAGGTATTTTTCGTTGATGTATTTGCACCAAATAGTGGCAATTTAACAGTTATTTACCACCTTAATAATGAAAAAAATGGAAATTAATAATAATGTTTCTGTATATGTAAACTTCATGTTGCAAACAAATTAAATTGGAACTCTATTCATTTTAATGTTGACGAAAGAATAAACACAAAATAATTAGATATTATCTATAGATTAGACAAAACTGTAGTCAAAATCAATAAAGTATTGTAAAATAGTGCAAACGAATATTATCTTTAATACCATTTGTCGAATAAGTATTGAAGCTGTGACTTACTGAAAAGTCATTCCTACAGTTCCTATGATTTTATAGAAATGCGCTATTTTTTTTTTCAATTAAAAGAGCTTATAAAAGCTTTTCAGAAAAATTACTCTACTATTCAGGGGATTTAAATACATCGTCAAACCAAACTTATTTTTAAATTATTAAATAGTTCCTAAATATTGCTAAATGTGAGCAATTGTCGATTCAGTGAATTATTAAGTGCCAATTATCACACTCGGTTGCCGAACCATAAATTATGCACCAGGATCATAAATATTTGATAGTGATTCTTTTAAAGTGCCATTAAAGTGTCAATGCTTGGTCGAGGTAAGCTTCTTTTCTTATTAATTTAAATTAATCTGAGTATCCAAAGAATAAAGACACCTTTGTGGGCTTTCACACAATCACGGTTAGTGCATGTTGTCACTATTTTAAATGATTGTACATCAACACAGTAGAGGTAGCACGCCATAACGGTTATTTTTCTGGAACAGGATACAACGTTGAATTCGCATTTAATTGCATATTAGGTTCCAAAAGTAAGATGTCAAGAATTTTTCATTCAAAATTTGCAATGATGGAAAAAAATTCTTAATATTGGTAAACTAAAAATAATATATGTATTCTAAAAAGAAAAACAAAACATGGGTCATAAGAAACTGTTTCAAGAAAAAAATTAATAATAAAATAGAATGGTTTAAATAAAACATACGCTTTCCATGCGAAAATGTTCAAAAAGCTAATTTTCATTTCAGAATTAATTAATATTTAATGTATTTTCCCTTATGCTTTTTACTAAGTCTAGTTCTTCGCTCGTTTATGATAGCACCCGCTTTGGAAAATCTCTCGCATGGAACAGAAGTACTAATATACCTGTGGTTTTTGGTTGATGAAACAAGTTTGTCAAAATCTTAACAAATTGAATAATCTCTTTTGGCTATCTTTTAACTGAACTTTCTCTAATTGATGAGGCGCCACAGTGAATTGAATTATTTACGCGTGTTATTAAGTCGATAATAATACTATTAAATAATCCAAATTAAAAGAGATGCACTCAAACAAAAATGGGTGTTTGGCATTCCTGAACGAAGTTATACCAGAGTTAAGTTACTTTTGGAAAAACATTTATTACAGATCATCAGAGACCATTCAAAGTTAGACTAAAAACACTAAATTATATCATCACCGCAACTAAATAATATTTCGCTGATCTGACCGATTATAGTTCCTGCAGAACTGAAATTCTTATAGACGAAAAGTGATAAACACAATCATCAACGCAACGCGCAACTGTACAAATTTTCCATTGACAAATGGTTACTGGAACTGGATGGTTTTGTGCTGAGGCGAAGTGCAAACCACTTTTTCGGTTGTATGGAACGGTTCCAAAACAACCGACAAAATTGGCAAAGTGTAACTGCGGTTACACGCCTGGAACACTTATTTTATCGGTTACCTTAAATACCGACCATCACTACAACATAGTCAGATAGAGGAACCAGTGCCGAGCGATTGGAATCCTCCCACTGTATATCGAGAGCCCTCAACAGACTGTGGAAAGACGGTCTCATGTACGACATAACTGAAACAGATAGTAATATGAAACTGCGAGAGAGGGCAGATATTTGCAGAAAGGGCTTTAGCGTCAAAGTTGCAACTCACAGCTTCTAATCCAGAGGCACGGAAACAGGAGTGCTGCAAACCCGGTGTTTTCTAGTTGGTAAGAATCGTGAAGATTTTTAATGTACTACTGCCGAGCGAGCAAAAAGTATAATATAATACCAAATATCGCTTGCGGTAACCGAAGAGTTTTTAATGTTTGTGTAAACGAACGCTAATTTGCGATAGTTTTTTGAAATGTAAACGTTCGAGAATATATGATAGTAATTCGCGATAATTGTTGAGATTTATTTTTTCAGCTTGTGTAGGTCGTTTTCGGCATTAAAGTTGTTGAAAAAAGTGTTTTATTGAAAATAGGCGTAATCAAGTCCTAATGTTTCTTACTGCAACATATCCAACACCTATTATTAAGTCAGTTCAACAAAGGGTGAAAGTTATCAAAATGTAAAAATTGGATTCCGGAGAAGTTGAATTCATAAGGTTTTCATGTCCTTGCAATTATAAACACCACGGAAATATAATGGGGCAAAAAGGAATAACAGCACAACACAAACCAAATGTTGTACTTAGTATATTTCGCTCTGTAAACATATGTTCCAAATTCCAAACATCAAAAGTTGTACATTATCTACCTACAACGAAAAGTTAGTTATTATAAACTAAAATATTAAAATAAAAATGTTTTCTAAAGCATGCAACGGTTACCTATTTTTCAAATCGATTCTAAGCCAAGCAAAATATTATGCTTTTCGCCAATGGTCCATTCATATGAGACTCGCCTATTCATATGAGATCGCGACTCATTCTATCTATTATTCATTTTCCAAGAGAAACAAAATCAAATTGGGAAACACCCCACTTTGTAATTGTAAACTTTCTGAACAATGCACATATATTGTAACATAAATTATCAAAGTTACGGTTAAAGTCCGATTTGTATCTGAACTTGTGTGACAATGTATCTAAACTTTAGATTTAATAATAAAATCGCTCCTCAACAAAATAAGTCTGATAGTTTAATAAACAAAATGGACAAAAAGACCGATATATAGTCTGTACACTATAACTTTGGTCCGGACGTCATCAGTCACGAAATTTGACTACCAACATAAAAACAATTATGCATAAAATTTGTATGATAAGTCGAATATTCTTTGTTTTACTACCACTGCTAAACAAAATGTAAAAGAGACTTAATATATCTATATTTCGTTTAAATCCGATTACAAATTGGGTAAATAAAACGTCGGTTAGCGTCCACTATCATTGATTTACAAACGAGACGTTTTTGTTGTTGTAAAAAATATCCCTCATCAGATAACAAGAGACCTAAAACTGCATCACTGGATCTGTAGATAGAAATGCCGGTTATCAATCACATAACTAAGGTCGCAACACCTCTAGTTTTAGGCTTTTTGATACCTGATGATGGTTATCTTTTAAAATGACCGAAACACGTCGTTCGTAAATAAATCAGTGGACTCTAACCCGCTTTTTTTATCCGGTATGTTTATATATCTATCATAAAAACTATTAGTAATCAATATTCGTTAGTGATGCAATATTGACAAACACATGCGTACATAATATTAAGTGTTATATAACACCTTTAATCGTGAACGCCATAAATTTAAATCAAATTCCCGCTACTAAAAGGTAAATCAACTCTGCTGCCATTTACATTTACTAACATCCAGCACCTACTTATTTTAATGAATGAATCATTTAATGAATCTATTAGCATTGATTTATTATAGCATTCAAGAGTTTAAGATCATGCGGTGGTGTTCTCAGTTGTGTTTTAATAGACGAAACACGAAATAAATTTCGATTATATTTTTTACTGAAGCATAATATACAAAAGTAACACGAAAAACAAGTAGATATTAAAGTGAGTAATCTTTCCAAATGCATAACGGAGATGGAAGATTTACTACAATAATCCTGCAAGTACATTTAGAAAAATGTATGATTAAAATAAAATATTGCAAACTTTGACGCTTAAAAAAGCAAATCAGATTTGCAAAAATCTAAAACATTGCTATACATATGTAAAATACAAATGAGATTTTATTAGTGCGGATACACTTTTTATAGCTAGTTATACGGAGGCGAAAATAGCGCAATACGGGGTGCTCTATTTGGTGTCTTTCGAAACTTTTCTTTAATTAAAACGGATATTTTGAATTACAGTAAAAAATGTTACTATCATTATTTTTTTAAATGTCTACCAAATTTGAAACACACGTTTATCATTAAAAGTCTCAACATTTATTTTTTTGTTAAAACAAAATCGACAAATCCAATTTTTTGCAGATTTGAAAACACTCGAGTATTCTAAGACTTCCTTTCTAAACAGAGCAGCATCGCAATATTTGTGTAATTACAAGATATAGAACTTCCAACATACAGAAGCATGATAAATTAGGCATAGGTAACACTGTGTTAAGTGGCGCTTTTGCGTTGATGCCGCTGTGTTAGTTGGTGAGTTATAACTCATCGCTCCTCACTGCGCCGCACCTTGAATTGCGCTTGTGGCGGAATAATTCTTGAAATCAGAACTTTTCACAGATTCATTTTCACAGAGACATTCTTAATTACATACTTGAAATTTAGTTTATTTGTATCATCGCTTGGAAATTGAGCAACAGTTTCACTTTTCAGTGTTTGCGGTTGTTTAGTCAATATTTTTTCAAAAACAAAATTAATCGGATATTAATTTTAGTTTTGGCGTTGTGCACTAATCACTGCAGCTGAGTAAAATTCAGACAAATATAAATTGCTCTAAATTTAAATTAGTGAAAAATATAGAACTTTTGACTAAAAGTTCTATATTCATCAACTGACTCGTAGGGTGGATTTGGTATCGATTCAGCTTTTTTGGGCGGCTTTGCATTTTTATATTAAGCCCATCTGAAGCTTTTCACTAAAGAACCGCTTCAGATATGGAAATTTGGGTTTCAGTATTCAATATAATTAGCATCAGCTTACTGGTAGTGTGGATTTGGTTCCAATTAAACCATTGATTCCTTTACAAGAGATTTTTAAACTTTGGAAATGTTTTGGCTGGTTTTGGATGTATTTTGGGCAAGCTCATCGGAAGCTTATCTCCAAAGAACCGTTTCGGATATACAAATATGAGCTCCAGCTTTATGTTTTTTTGTTAAAAAAAATCAATAGTTTTAGTTTCGTTTGTTTGTTCATTACGAAATCGACTAAAACATGACGCCACCTTTTTTCACCTTGCTCAAAAACCATTTGAGCCATGGAATTCGTTTTCTTTGAATCTTTGAATAGAGAATTGGTAATTCGATTCAGTTATAACAACGTGCGTGAGTAAACTCTGTTCGACTGGTCACAAAAAGTCACACTAAATTTGAATATCAGACATTCAGGAGCAAGTTTACGCCAAAATTTCATATAAAAAATACGTCTTCTACATAATGTTAATCTTTCAAGTTTCTACTGGCTTTACTTTGGATGCCATATTTTTTGGAGCAACATTTTACCAAATGAAACGCAACTGCTTCGGTGAATAGTGTGCCGGTGTATTGGATTGGCGCAACAAGCCATTTCGGCATCACTGCGCCAACTCCTTAAAAATAATTGAGTTACCCCTGCCAATGAGAACAGGTAGAATTCCAAGAAACATGGGGGATTTAAATGTTTTTGATCATATACTTTTGAAAGCTAAACATGAGCGTCTTTTTTCGTTTAAACTTTAGTTAAGTTCAACTAACAGTGAAGAGTATTATAGAATTACCTGCAATTTAAAATGCAAGTTCTGATTTAATGAGAAAAAATACACAACTATGATGTGATTCATCTCCCATTGCCATTAACTATAACTACGGGAAATGTTTTACGCACGCAATATTATGCTACATCAAAACAACGGTACCTACACGTAGGTATATAATGAGCGGATCTTAAGTAATTTAAACATTTATATGTACATATACGTAAATGCGGAAATGCAACAAATAAACATACCAACACAACATTTTAACATTAAGAATCTTGTACCAATTTCCAAAACTATTTATTTTATCAATTAATAATTGTTAACAGAACACTGTACACTGTGTTCAAAAATACACAAATACACGGTTGATGGCACCTTAGGGATCCACGATCAACGGACTATTGCTTATTCTCAAAATTGGGCTACTTCTAAAATCACTCCTAATCTCATACAATGTGCCTCATTTGAAATTGTTAAATTGATTGGATTTTTTGGATAAGTGGTAACGCTTTTGCTGAAATAATTTAAAATCGCTGGATCACTAGTGATTAGGGATGGTCGGCATTTAACGTAACCGCTGAAATGTGTTCCAGACGTGTAACTTATAACCGCAGTTCCACTTTGCCAATTTAACCGGTTGATTTTGAAACCGTCTCATAAACCCGAAAAAGTGGTTCGCAGCAGCACCAAACCGATGCCACAGCGTCCAGCCATCTATCCAGTTAGAGCAGTTTCAGTAACCATTTGTCAACGGAAAATATGTTTAGTTGCGCCTTGCGATGATGATTGTGTTTATCACCTTTCGTCTATAAGAATTACCGTTCGGTGCTCCAGGAACCATCATCGAGCAGATTATCGGAATGTTGATTCATTTTTAAATGAAAATTAGTTTTAAAACATTTTCAACAGCAAAGCGCATATTTGATGTAAACCATTCGATTTTATGATCAGTTTTTTGTTAAGTAGTTACTTATGACCAATGTTTTGCTTTTATTATTTTTAGTTTGGGTTAGTTAATTAGCATTGGTACTAAGAATTTATTTTTAAATAAACTTAATAACTATTTATCATCAGAATTTCTACCATCATCATCATTGCGAATTTTTAATGAAAAATTTAAAAAGTCACATGCTACTGTTGAAACCGTATTTCGAAACCTAATACCAAAGTGAAACCACAACTTGTAACTTGTTCCAGAAAAATAACCGTTTAGCACA